CACCATGGAATACTATGCAGCCATGAACAAGAATGAACTCATGTCCTTTGCAGTAATGTGGTCATAGCTAGAGGCCATTATCCTAAGTGAATTAACTCAGCAACAGAAATCCAAATACCGCATGATCTCACTTATAAATGGGAGCTAAACATTGAGTACACATGACATAAAGATGGGAACAATAGACATTAGGCACTACAAGAGGCAGAAGGGAGGCATGGAGGTGTGGGTTGAAAAACTACCTATTAAGCACTATACTCACTATGTGGGTGATGGGATCTGTACTCTCAATCTTAGTATCATGCGATATACCCATGTAACAAACATGCAATTGCACCCTCTGAGTCTAAAATAAAAGTTGACAATTTTTAATGTATTAATATTTTTTGCTTTCATGTTACTTATTGTCTTGTGGCAAAAAATAGTTCAGAACTATATTAATAGAACTTAAAATGATTTGATAGTCATCACCATGCACAATGCTAGCAAAAGAGGAAGCACTGAAAAACAAACAAACAAAAAAAATTTGGGAGTAAAAGAAAAATATATATATAGTTTTAATAATACAAACAAAATTTGGATCAGAACCCTAAATTTTAAAAATAAATTGCTAATTTCTCCACTTTAGTTTTGTAGTTGTAAGCACAATATTTCTTTATAGAGGCATTTATTTTTGTCAGAATTGGCAGCTCTGATTCATTGAAGTCAACTCTACCTAATCTGATGTGTCTAACATATTTTTTTCAGCTAATTACAGGCTGCATGAATAGTCCAAGTCAAACAAGTCTGGTATATACACAATACCAAGAAACCAAGTTGGTTTGATTTCAAGCTCAAATATTTACTAGCAATTCAGATGTTTCTCCTGATTTAAACATGTAAATATACAACAATCGATTAGGTATACTCACTTGATGATTGACTTCTCTAAAATGAAACTATAATGAACTCATCACCCTTACAACCCAGGTTCCAAACCGGCAACAAACTGAAATGAGCAAATTAAAATAAAAGCTATACATTTGAACTATTCCTACTCAGTGACTGGAACCAGATTTAACTGAATTATCTATTTCTGATTCAAATAAAAAACTGCTATGAATATTTTATGAGCAAATGTTTGCGAGAATGCACTTTTTCAAGTCAGTTGAGGATCACCCAAGAACATAGTTACTGCTGAATCATAGGGTAAGACCATGTTTAGCTTCTTAAGAAGCTACCAAATTGTCTTGTAAAGTGGTGTAGCATCTTATATTCTTACCAGCACTCAATAGATATTTCTGTTACTCAACGTCCTTCGTATCAATTGATATTTTCTCTTTTTCAATTGACATTAGCAATGCTAGTAGGTGTGTAGTAGCATCATTATTTAAATTTGCAATATCCTAATGACAAGGTGTATAGAATATATTTCTATATGTTTAATTGCTATCTGTATATTTTCTTTCAAGTCTGTTAAATATTTTGCCCATCCTTTAACTGGGTTGCTTATTTTCTTATTGTTGAGTTTAAGAGATCTGCATATATGTTGTATACAAGTCCTTTGTTCAGATGTGTGTTTTCACTAATATTTTCTTCCAGTCTATGGTTTGTCTTTCATTCTCTCCACAGTGACTTTCATAAAGAGGATTTTACTTTTAATAAAATCTAATTCATCAATTTTTTTTTTTTTTTAGGAGCTATGCCTTTAAGGTTGTATCTAAAACTCATCACCAAACTGAAGGTCACATAATTTTTCTGCTATGTTTGTTTTATTCTAGAAATTTATAGTTTTGTATTTTATATGTAAGTCTTAGATTCATTTTAAGTGTTTTTTAATGTCGCAAAGTCTCTGTCTAGGTTCTATTTTTGTGTGGGAAAGCCCAATTGTATTATTTGGCTCTGTATTCAGTTCCATCAATCTATAAATTTATTCTTTTGCCAATACTATCCTGTTTTGATTGCTGTAGATTTATACTAGTTATTAATGTAAGTCCTCAGATGTTGTTTTTATTCAGCATTGTGTTTGTTTTTCTAGGTTTTTCCCCCTTCCATATTAACTTTATAATCAGTTTTTCAGTATCTATAAATAGTTCCCTGAGATTTTGATCAAGATTGTTTTGTATCCATTGATCACATTCCTTCAATAGGTGATTTGATAAACTGTGGCATATCCATAAAATGGAATATTATTAAATTATTAAAAGAAAGAATGTATTGAGCCACAGCAAGACATAAAGGAAACTTACATGCACTTTGCTAAGTGAAAGAAGCTTGTCTGTAAAAGCTACACGTGTGATTCTAATCTTATCACATTTTGGAAAAGGCAAACCCATAATGATGATAAGAAAGTCGTTGGTTTTCAGGAGTTCGACAGGATGGGAAGAGAGTTGAATTGGTGAAGTGTAGTGAATTTTTTAAAGCAGTAAAACTGTTATGCATGTCACCATCATTGTGGATATGTACATCTAAATGTTAGATCAAATTAAATGTTGTCAGATTTGTCTTTCCTTCTTTGTTTCTCTTCCAATGAAAAAGACCCTCATAATTGGCCTCCTGACTGCCTGTGCTTTCTGTCTCCTGGACAACTTTTTGGGTACCCTAGTTTTCATCTACCTTCAGCTCCAGGCTGAGTTCTCACTTATTTGTGTGCCTCTTTCTTTGTTTTTTCACTGGTGTTGCAAGGATTCATGGAGATAGCTTCTACATATTTTGAAATGAGCAAATGCATTTAAAAAATCTGTAGTTTTAGGATCTAGTTATTATAAAACAAAAGAGTTTCTCATAACTTCTAGTTATTCCAAAGAATATCTCTAGGACTTTTTAAAAATGCTTAATGTTCATTCAGTGTAATTTGTAAAAATGTTAGCTTTCCTTTTGTTCATGTTTTTAATATACGTTTTCCACCTTTTATTCCCAAATTTTCTGTGTTCTTACATTTTAGCTTCAATTCTGTTGAAGAAGATATAGCTAGAAGATATAGAATCTATGTAAGAAAATTTGCTCTAACTTGTGTGGGTTTGTAGAATGTGGTCTGGATAACATAACTGTGAATGTTTTCTATGTGCTGATGATAACTAATCCAGATAATTTCTTAGATTGTCCCTGAAAAATTGCCAGGCTCAGCGTGCTGGGAACTCACCATTGCAGTAGGAAACAAATGAAAACAAATGGGCATTGATTTTCAGGGGTCATATCAGTTCTGGGTGGTTGAAGAGTTTAAAATAGTTATCAAAATATTTTCTGTGTGATAATTTGAAGTAATTTAATATGAACTGTGTGATTTAGGTGTGTACGAATTAGTACTTATCTATGATAATAGAACAATTAGTATTTAAAGAATTTTAATCAGAAAGTCAATCTTTCACACTTGACAACTTAGCACTTACTTTTCATTTCTTTTAAAATCTCCAAGAAGAATTTGAATATTAGCATAACAGGTGATAGGATTATTTTAAATTGGTAAAATAGTGTTCAGTATAGATGGGTGAGGAGGATTGTGTAGATCTAAGCTTCCTTGTATGAATGAGATGTAGGTATCAGACACACTTGGCAGTATCATGTCATTGTTTAGTCTCTTCTCATTACTTCCTTCTTCAAGTAGCTTGCCCTAGGTGGTGTCATCTTATGCATCAGTGCTTTTTACCTTCACGAGCAGCGCCAATATCATTCCTTTTAAATTGCTTCTTTTCGCCCAACCTAATTTGCTATATTTCAACCTCAATAAAGGCAGGTTCTATATCAGTTCTCACTTTTTATTCCCATTTTTGCACAATGACAGGTACATAGCAGGCACTTGATAAACAATGATTATATTAATAAATCAACACTTATTTCATATTGACATAAATATTACCATTATAGATATCTGATTCGTAAAGGCTTCCAAACACTCACATTATAAATTTGCTCCATTCTATCTGCACATTGTAAATATGTTTCGTTTTTTCTTTTAAAAGGTATCAAAATAAAACACTTGCCTAAAGTGAATTAGAACAGTTATTTAAATCATCCATTGCAGCCTTAACCATGAGTAATTTTATTTGAACAATCTCCTTTCACTGTAATCATAGTAAGATATATATAGTAGAATATATCAAACTATAAAGTGGCACAGGCAACATGACTTTCAAACACTTAATGTCCAGCATTTTTTAAACCATGTCCAAAAGGCATGAAAATTACAGTATATCATCCTCACTATTAGGTCCACACAACCAACTTAAAGCAGAGCAAGATACGTGCACAAATAACAGACTAACACTAGAAAGGGTATAGAGCTACAGTTCCTTTAGTCCATATTTAGCTAGCAACATGTGTTCTGCCTTAAGAAATGTCCAAAACTAAGTTGTACTATTGAGGGCACACTTAGTATTTTGGATGAAAAAAGTTATCTGTTAATAAAATGTATTAGTCACAATGTTTGCTTGTTAAACAGTAAGCCATTAAGCATAACATATTCTCAGTGTCGCAGATTTTCATTAATGAAAGCATATCAATTTTACTATGTCCTTCTAATGCTTCCTGACTTTAGTTCTGCTTCGCAGGGTGCCTGCGCCTTTTCAACTTGCCTCTTGCTCTCAGCTATGATTTGAGAAAGTTAATAAGCTAGTTTGAATGTATGTGTAGAAATTAAAAGGAATTTAAAAATCCGGAGTCCAAGGAAGATGCAGAGTGAATAAAAGAGGAGAGTCATCTTTTAATTTCTCATTGAAAAAAAAAAAAAAACTAATACGGAGAAAGAATTAAGCAAATATAATTCAAATGGAAATTTCTATAATGCCCTATTACATCCAGAGGCAGACCTAATATTATGCCCTTTACTCTGAGTCTTATAATGAAAAAGAGAGAGAGAGAGAGAGAAATTGCTTTTGCAGTCTTATCCCAATTGTAGCCTTGAAGTTTTTCTTGGATCAGAATTAAGAGATTACAAACCTGACCTCATTTCTAGCCTAAAGCTTGAGACGAACAAAGTGATATGAGCCATGGGAATTACTTAGACAAAAATTCTGTTAACTTACTCTTGGAACTATTCAACAGAAAAGGAAGAAAGAGGTAATCCTGTCCCAGCCAAGCTCCATTCTTTGCTTTCATTGAATAAACAGTTAGATATTGAGATTTCAACACCACCGTCCACATGTCTGACTCCAACTGTAGAAATACAAAGAACATTTGTTGCCACTAAGAAAATATAGAACAATTTTCAAATTAGTCACCATGCTAAATAATAACCCGACTTCAATAAAAATGTTTTATAATACAGAACATAATTAAAAATAAAAATAAGGCAGAGTACAAATCCCACTCTAAAATGAATTTACCATAGAAAACTCAACTAGAAACAGCAAGACCCTGGCAGAGACCTACTCCTGAGGAACTTGGAGCCCCACAGAAAGGGTAGGTGGAAGTGCTTCTTTGCTTCCCCTCTCCACTTTGACGATCTTCTTACTGTCAAAAAGTTGTGGAGTCTCTCTGCTCTTGTGAACCAGGGAAACACTGGTGGTATGTGATTTGAGAAGTTCTCAGGGACAGAGATCTGGGTGGCCAGCAAGTGGAGGCATGCCTGCACTCCTCTGAGACCCGAACTGGGATGGAAGACACCAACCCGGTTGAGCATCTATTGCGAGACACTGTTCTGCCTGGGATTTCTCTGCCCTTTAGTCACCATACCATCAGATCCCTCAGAAACATACCCCAAACCCACTCTGACTATGGCAAGCACAAAGGACTGGTTGTTCCCCAGGGTGTGAGCTACCCATAAAGGAGGAAGTATAGTTCTGCAGCCCACCAGAGCCCCACTGGGATGAAGAAAACACAGATATGGTGGCAATCTCTGAAGAAAACAACAGTGATACCCTGGCATAGACATAGAGAGGGTGTCATCTCACACACCCCATACATTGCTATGGACACAGCAGTGCTTCTTCCTGCTAAAGGCCAGCATGTTCGCTGAGTGAAGAGAAAGCATTTTTTATGTCATTTATTTATTTATTTATTTATTTATTTATTTTATCTTTTTATTTTTTGTGGCACCTCCACTTCCACTGAAAGTGAGCCTTTGCCACTTGAACTTACATGGAGGGCAGGGTCCAACTTCTCTTCCCTACACAGAGTGACAGTGTGCCAGCAATGGAGGACAGACATGTCAAAAGGTTGGCTGCCTTGGACTGGGGAAGAGGCTTTGCCCCAAGAACATTTTGGTGCTGGCCCTCAGAGAGTTATGTCTTCAGCACATAAGCACACTGTGATTGGAAACCAAAGGATGAATTCTCTATGAACTTTGGTTGTAAGCCCTGCAACAGGGGCACGATAGGGAAGTGGATTGCATTCCTGCCAGTTCACAGTGAATAGCTATTACTCCATCAAGCCCCTTCCTGCAAGACCCTAAGTTCATCCCAACACAATCTCCCCCACTCCTCTTATTCCTGCATCCCCACATTCCTGCACCCCCATCAGAGTGAGAGCCTCCATTCAACATCAGCCTACCTGAGCTGGAACTGGATTTTACTCTAAGGGCCACCTACAGTGTGGCAGTCTGAACTATACCACCAAATAAAAACTTGCTATCAGAAAGACTTAGTGCTAGTCTAAAAGATAAGCTTCCTGAGACCTCCCCACCCTCAGCCCTACAGGTGATAATATTGGCTCATACATCCAAACCATCATTACAACAAGCAGCCTCTGAGAAAGCCATTGCACAGAAGCTATCAACAACCAAGAAACCCATACAGATCTCAACCCACTGAAAGCACCCAGAAATAAAGCCAAATGATCATATGCAACGTACACCACAGTCATACCCCTAAAGGAAGCAAGAATTTCAAAAAAGTAAATGTCCTATTCAAATGATAGTAAGTTCAAAAATAAGAAGTGACAGCCTGCTCAGATGACAATGAATCAGCACAAGAACTGTGTTGGTGCTAAAAGTTAGAGTGTCTTGACACCTCCAAAGGATCTCATCATCTTTCTAGCAGTAGATCCTAACCAAACCAAAAAATTTGAAGTGACAAGGAATTCAAAAAATCAATAGCAAGGAAACTCAACAAGATCCATGAGCAAGTGGAAATCCAATACAAAAAAAAAAAAAAGAAAACGAATTCAGGAAATGAAAGCTGAGATAGCTATATTTAAAAAAGAAACAATAAATCATATTTCAGGAATTGAAAAATTCACTAAAGGCATTTCAAAATACAATTGGATGCTTTAACAATAGACTAGATAAAGCAGAATTTATTTCAGGACTGTAGATTTATCTTTTACATTAACCCAGTCATGAAGAAAAAATAATTCTAAAAACTAAACAAAATCTTCGAGAAATATGGGATTATATAAAGCAATAAAACTTACGTTGTATTGCCATTCCTGGGAGAAAAGAAGATAAAGCAAACAAGTTGGAAAATATGTTTGAGGTAATAATTTAGTTAAATGTTTCTAATCCTGATAGAGAGATCAACATCCAGATACAGGAAGTACAGAGAACACCTGCAATATAATATACAAGATGACCACACTGAAGAGTTAAAGTCATCAGTATATCCAAGGTTAGTATGAACATGCAAACACTAAGGGAATTAGTCACCACCAGACTGAAACTACAACAAACACTCAAAGGAATTCTAAACATGAAAGAAGGATACTTGCTACCATAATAAAATACTTGCTACCAGAAATGAAAAAAAAGATACTTGCTACCATAAAAGCACATGTAAGTACAAAGCTCACAGATACTGTAAAGCAATTACACAAATCCACTAGCTAACATCATTATAACAAGGACAAAACTTCACATATCAATATTAGCTGTGAACATAAATCACCTAACTGACCTAAATGATCTACTTAGACAAAGCGTGGCAAATGGGCAAAAAACAAGACTCAACATTTGGTTGTCTTCAAGAGATTCATATGTAATGAAATTCATAGGCTAAAAGTAAAGGTATGGCGAATGACCTATCACATAAATAGAATACAAGAAACAGCATATGTTGCTATTCTTGTATGAAATAAGACAGAATTTAAATAAAAAATAGTAAAAAAAAAAAAAAAGACAAAGAAAAAAAAAAAAAAAAAAGACAAAGAAAGACATTATATAGTGGCAAAGGATTCAATTCAACACAAAGATTTAGCTATCCTAAATACATATGCACACAAAGTTGAATCACCCATATGTATAAAACAAATACTACTGGCCCTCAGAAAATAGACAGACAGACATACAATAATAGTGGAGGACTTCAAAACCCCACTGACAGCACTAAGACAAATAATTGAGGCACCAAACTAACAAAGAAACTCTAAACTTAAATTGGACTCTTTATCAAATGAAGCTGATAGACATCTACAGCATACTTCACCCAACAACCACAGAATATACATTTTTTTCTTATCTGCACAGGGAATATTCTCTAAAATTGAGTACATGCTTGGTCATAAAGCAAGTCTCAATAAATTTTTAAAAATCAAATCCATATCAAGCATATATTCTCAGACCACAGTGGAATGAAACTAGAAATCAATGCCAAGAGGAACTCTCCAAACTACACAAGTATATAGAAACTAAACAATTTGCTCCTGTGTGACTTTTGGGTAAATAATTAAACTGAGGTAGGAATCAAATAGTTTTTAAAACAAATGAAAATAGAGATACAACAGATACAACATACCACATCCCATGGGATACAGTAAGAGGAAAGCTTATAGTACTAAATGCCTACATCAAAATAATGGCAAGATTTCACAATCTAATGTTTCACTTAAAGAAATTAGAAAATCAAGAACAAGCCAAACTCAAAGCTAACCAAAGAAAATAAATAACAAATATGAGAGCAGAACTAAATGAAATAGATCCCCCAAAGCCATGCAAAGGATCAGTGAAACAAAAAGTTGGTTCTTTTCTAGGATAAACAAAATAAATAGATCACAAGCTAAATTAACAGAGAATAAAAGAAAGAATATTCAAAAAGCAGGTCAAAAATGACAACGGTAACATTACAATTGATAAAAAATATCCTCAGAGGCTATTATGAACATCTCTATTTGTGCACACTAGAAAATCTAGAATAAATTGATAAATTACTGAAAACACACAGCTTTCCAAGACTGAAGCAGAAAAAAAGTTGAAATCCTCAACAGCCCAATTATGAATCATGAATTATGAAACTGGAACAGTAACAAAAAATAAGTTGAATTCTAACAGGTGTTTAAAAAAAAAACAAAAAAAACCAGACTTGGTGCCAATCTTACTAAAACCGTTCCAAAAAATTTAAAAGGAGGGATTCCTGTTTAACTCATTCTATGAAACAAGTATTAACCCGATACCAAACTCTGGTAAGAACACAGCAAAAAATGGAAACTACAGGCCAGTATCTCTGATGAGCATAGATGCAAAAATCCTCAACAAAATACAACAAATCAACTCTGGCTACATATATATAGCCAATCATGGTGGCACATTCCTTTAGTCTCAGCTACTCAGAAGGCTAAAGTGGGAGTATCAGTTGGGCCCAGGAGGTTGTGACCAAACTGAGTTGTGATTGTGTCACTGCACTCTAGACTGGGTGAGAGAGCAAGAACCAGTCTGAAAAGAAAAAAAGAAAAAAAAAAGATAATTTATCTTTTCATCCCATTTATGCGAGTGTTTCTGGAATGTAATGATGCTTCAAAATATGCAAATCAATAAATGTGATTTACCACATGAATAGAATTCAAAACAAAAACCATGTGATCATTTCAATAGATGCAAAGAAGCATTTGATAAAATCTAACATCCCTTCATGATTAAAAAAAACAAAAAAACTCACCAAACTGGGGATCAAAGGAACTCAAAATAATAAGCCATTTATGACAAATAAACAGCCGTCATACTGAAGAGGCAAAAGTTGAAAGCATTTCCCTTAAGAACTGGAACAAGACAAAGATGTTGACTCTCACCACTCCCATGCAACATAGTACTAGAAATCCTTGCCAGAGCAAATAGGCAAAAAAAAAGAAATAAAAGACTTTCAAATTAGAAAAGAGGAAGTAAAACTACCTCTGTCCTCTGATAACATAATCCTCTACCTAAAAACTCCTAAGAATTAAGAGACACCTACATCTGATAAATGAATCCAATAAAACTTCAGGATGCAATATCAATATACAAAGTCAGTAAC